GGTAGTTCTATTTTTAATTTTTTGAGGATCCTCCACACTGATTTCCAGAGCGGCTGCACCAGTTTGCATTCCCACCACCAGTGAAAGAGGGTTCCCCTTTGGAAACATTGTTTTCAAAAGCCTATGTAACTAAAAATAAAAAAAAAAAAAAATCCCACTAAAATGTTTGCACAAAGGGTTAAAACATGTCACGGAGGTAAAACACTGACCAAGGCTTTGGCTTGCTTTTCTACCCTTCTCCATCGTTATCTTGTGTGGTTCAAGTATCTTTCCTTATTGGGACTTGCCATTTCCAGTTGACTAGGAAATTGCTCTTTAGCCAGTGTTTCAAATCTGAGGTGAATGCAGCCTGGGTGGTTTATTCGTGGGCCCACGTATCACGACCTGTGAAGGGAGTAACCTGGAGGTAAGAGTTTTGAAATAGAAAACTCAGCTTCTGCCATACATGGGTTTGAAATCAACATCATGTGGCATTTGCAGCTCACCACACACGGGTGAGGTAAGCGTCCTGTCATCAAATGACCCTTTTTGACGTCCATGGGTGATAAGAGCCCCAAGCACTCCTGGAGTCTAGGCTGAATTTTCCCCACTGGCTTGGGAACTGGCCTCTTCTCAGCACTCGCACTGCTGCCGGCTGGATGACAGCTGATCTGGGACTCCTCAAGGCGGAGTCCTTTCCAGACACAGCCGTCTCCACCCTCAACCGCACTCGTCTCCCTCGCGGCCGGTCTAGGACCACCAGGACCAATTTCGGGGTTCTCCTTCTCCAGTGAGACTCGGCAGAACAGGCTTCAAGAGAATCGGGGGCAGAGGACGAGTAAGAAGTAACCGCTATTGGTAAGACTCATAATAAATGGCAGTATACCCCTGAGACACGACGAGGAGCACCCCGCTTAGCCGCGGAAGCGACAGGGACAGGAGGCCCCCGGCCAACGGCCGGACTGGCCCGCCCCAACTGTCCGCTCTGGTCACAGTCACGTGACCGGGGAGCGGCGCGCGCCGGCCGCGGCGCCGATTGGCCGGCGGCGGAAGCGCGGGGTTTGATGGGAAGGAGTTGGCCGGGCCCATCGCTCTGTCAGTGGCGGCTGCTGCCTGCTCGGGAGGCAGGCTGCGCGGTGGCCGCCGAAGCTGGCAGACGTGGACACAGGCGCCGGGCTTTGCCCGCTTCTTGCAGGTAGAACGCTTAAAATGAAGGCAACTGGGGGTGGCGGGCTCGGCAAAGGGGAAGCGCGCCGAGCTTTTCCCTGGGAGATACGCTCCCGGTTCCCCCGCTTGCGTCTCCCAGGCGCCCCCGCCTCATGCCAAGTGGCCTAAGAGCTCTGCGGCGGCGGCTAGTCAAACTCCCGCCGGGCTGCGCGCTAACCAACATCGCCTCCTGCTCCTCTTGATTTCCCAGCCAAGTGGCAGGGCTGACTCTGGAGTGCTAGAGACCCCTTCCCCCCACCTATCCCCGCGAAGGGGAGGCGGTTTACCCGCCTTGTTCTCAGATTCCGGTGTGGGTGTCTGGGTTGAGCTGAGCATCGGCTCTTTGGCCCGCCTCTGTCGAGACGAAGGGTCCGAAGGTTCTACCCTAAGCTAAGCTGTCGCCTTGAGTGTTCTCTGTCTCGTTTTTTTTTCCCTGAGTTGTGCGGAGGCGCCACGAATTGGACAGATTGGGAGGGACCGAAAACTGTCAGTGTCATGCTGCTCGGCCCAGCCATGTGGGCGTGGATTGTGTGCTGCTTAGAGAAGCCTCTCTACAACCGTTGTCCTTATTTGAGGGACGGTGGGCGGTGTAAGGCTGGAGGGCAGGGAGAGGTTGCGTAGGTGTCTTGGGCGCAGCGGGAGGAGAAGAGCAAATCTAAACTACATCCATAGTTTATTTCTTGGGGTGCCTGGTTGGGCGGAGGCTGCGACTCTTGATCTCGAGGTTATGGGTTTGGGCCCCGCATTGAGTGTGGGGATTACTTAAAAATAAACTGTTTAAAGAAAATAGTTTAATTTTTTTAATAGTGGGTACGGGTATTGAGAGTTGTGATTGGTGAACTCAGTTTTGCTGATGGTGCCCTCACAGTAATAAAACTGGTGACTCATTGAATTTTCCATGTTCTGCTTTTTTCCCAGTTGGCTTCTGGTTTGTGTCAATTGTTTTCTCCTTTTTCTCTGGCTTGGGTGTCACCGTTGACAGAAATGACCCTGTTCACAGCAGTGTGTGTGCATCTGAGTGAGCTTGGCTTCAGGCATATGTTCAAACTGGCAGGGAATGCTAATCTCTTGTTCTCAGCAGCCCTCATAGTTCCATTTTAGGAGGAAGTTGATTTTGAACACGTTTTTAAAAACAAGAATGGTGCCTTTAAAATTAGAATTTTAAGTTTCTCTGTCATCTACTAAGATCAGTCCAACACTGTTAATAAAGTTACATGGTGATTATATATTAACTTGAGAGAGAATGTAAGAAAAGAAGTCCTATGACTGTCAAACAGGTATGATTTAATATCAGAAACCTTTCCATATTAAATATAGTCACTTCTTGGAAGTTAGTTCAAAATGAACATCAACTTACCATGAACACCAGAATTAATCAACGTGTAGTAAAGTTACTTTTAGAGGTGTACCTCTTTTCAGTAATTTTATTTTTGAGCAATAAATGTGGTGGTTTGGTATATTTCAGAATTGCCTTTAGCTAGGATATTGGAAAGTTAGAGTTCTAGAACAAATCACTCTTTTTTTTTTTAATTTTTTTATTTTTTTTAATTTTTTTTTCAACGTTTTTATTTATTTTTTTGGGACAGAGAGAGACAGAGCATGAACGGGGGAGGGGCAGAGAGAGAGGGAGACACAGAATCGGAAACAGGCTCCAGGCTCTGAGTCATCAGCCCAGAGCCCGACGCGGGGCTTGAACTCCCAAACCGCAAGATCGTGACCTGGCTGAAGTCGGACGCTTAACCGACTGCGCCACCCAGGCGCCCCGAGAACAAATCACTCTTAAGCTTAAACTGAATAGTACAAATAGAGGTACTGTTGATGGTGACTGAATAGTTTCCACTTAGGTTTGGAAGTTGATAAATATAAAAGTTAACTTGCTTTGCTGTTAAAGGCCTGCAAGATTATTTTAATGGAAGAACCTGCAGGATATGTTGTTTTATTTTTTTAATGTTAAAGTAAATGGGAGCAAAACATTTTCAGTTAAAATACAAACTGTAACTTATTTTTCCCATTTTAAAATTATGAAAACAGATACTTTATGAGTTTAGAAAGAAAGGTGTTTGTATGAGGAGTATTGCTTTCTGATAATAGTAATAATAGTGGCTACAGTTTATTATGTGCACACTAGTTGGACACTGTGTCAGGTGATACATAATTTCATTTAATTCATACAATAATTCTGTAAAGTGTAGATAGCTTCACCACTCTACAGATGTGGAAACTGAGGTTTAGAGAGTTTAATTTACCTAAGATCACATTGCTAGTATGTGGTTGAGCCATATTTTGAATCCAGATCTTTTTTACTCCTTTATTTTTTTCATTTTATTTAAAAAATTTTTTTGAAATGCTTATTTATTTTTAGGAGAGAGAATGCCAGTGGGGAGAGGCAGAGAGAGGGGGACATAGGATCTCAAGAAGGCTCGATGCTGACAGCAGCAAGCCCAATGCGGGACTCTAACTTACAAACTAAGAGATCATGACCTGAGCCAAAGTTGGTCACTCAATCAACTGAGCCACCCAGGCACCCTTCCATTATTTAAAATAATTAATTAATTATTTTTGGGGGGAGGGGGAGAGGAGCAGAGAGAGAGGGAGAGGGAGAGGGACAGGGAGAGGGAGAGAGAGAATCCTAAGCAGGCTTCATGTTCAGCGCAGAGCCCTAGCAGGGGTCGATTCTGTGACCCTGGGATCATGATCTGAGCTGAAATTATGAGTTAGATGCTCAATTTACTGAGCCACGCCCCTACTCCATTATTTTAATATGACTTGAAGTAAGCTGAGAATTTAAGAATGACATGACCCAGGATTTTAAATTCTGACCCCCAAACCTAAGTGTGAATATCAGTTAACATTGAACATTCAAAACATTGAAATAATATGGTGGGCATAATTACTTACTGAAAAACACATTAGATGCATCCAGCTCTTAAGGTCATGTCAGGTTCCACTGTGATATCAGAGTGGAAAGAGACCGTGCACATTTATGGAAGAGTTCTTGGGGACAAGCCACTTGAGATTGAGCCATCTGTCCACTCAAGGGCAAACATTGATTTATGCTTCTGAAAGAAATGGTAGTTATTTGCTTCCCATGTATTTTCCATTTGTTGGAAGAGATGGATTAGGAAATAGCAATGACCACAGCAGTAAAAACAATTTATATTGAGGAATTATTTATGTGTTAGACACTGCTGTAAATGCTTTAGAATGCATTGTGTCATTCAAGCCGTTCAACATTAAAAAAATTTTTTTTAATGTTTATTTTTGAGAGAGAGCGCGTGTGTGCACGCACAAGTTGGGGAGGGGCAGAGAGAGAGGGGGAGACACAGAATTCGAAGCAGGCTCCATGTTCTGAGCTGTCAGCACAGAGCCGGATGTGGTGCTTGAACCCACAAACCGTGAGATTATGACCTGAGCTGAGCCAAAGTTGGTCGCTTAACCGGCTGAGCCACCCAGGTGCCCCAAGCCTTTCAACATTTAAAGAGGGTCCTTAACTCTCCCTCTTTTCCAGATGAAGATACTGAGTAACTGAGACATTAAATAGCTTATTTGCCCAAGGTTTCATAGTAAGTAATGGGCTACAGGAATTGGAGTATGGCAAGGAGGGAAAAAGAGTTGGAAAACAGAAGAGGTATGAAACGAAAGCTATAAAGAGTTGATTTACTTAATTTTGTTATGCTTTCATATCTGATGGAAAGTACTCCATTAGTTGTGTATTATAGCAAATCATTTTTTTTTATTTTAAATTTTTTATGTTTTTATTTTATTTTTGAGAGGGAGACAGAGTGTGAGCAGGGGGAGGGGCAGAGAGAGAGACAGAATCTGAAGCAGGATCCAGCCTCTGAGCTGTCAGCACAGAGCCTGATGCAGGGCTTGAACTCACAGACTATGAGATTATGTGAGCTGAACTGAAGTCCCACGCTTAACCAGCTGAGCCACCAAGGTGCCCCATAGTAAATCAGCTTCTTAAACAATACTGGAATTTGATAGGAAAATTGCTGGAACAATGAGGGTTGACTCATTCTTTGATTATGACCCTGAAAGCAGGGATATGACATTTAATGACTATTTACCATAATGTTGTTTTCGAGGACAAATTCTAAAGCAGAATACTCTGCTTCAGAAATCTCATAGTTTAGGGGCGCCTGGGTGGCGCAGTCGGTTAAGCGTCCGACTTCAGCCAGGTCACGATCTCGCGGTCCGTGAGTTCGAGCCCCGCGTCGGGCTCTGGGCTGATGGCTCAGAGCCTGGAGCCTGTTTCCGATTCTGTGTCTCCCTCTCTCTCTGCCCCTCCCCCGTTCGTGCTCTGTCTCTCTCTGTCCCAAAAAAAATAAATAAACGTTGAAAAAAAAATTAAAAAAAAAGAAATCTCATAGTTTATTTCATTAACACCATAACAGTTCTCCAAGCAAATAATTGATATTAATTGCAACATTATGCACATATTTCATATTATGCTTACTTAAAAAGTGATATTCAGTAAAAAAGTAAAAGCAGTGCTTGCAGACTCCTAGTATCAGTTCTGCCCCTAACTAGAGCTAGCTGCCAAAATGATCTGGCAAATCATTTAGCTTCTCTTCCATGCAGATTTAAACATTCAGATTTAATCAGATGTGGGCTACAATGATCCACTGTACCAACACTGTCTCTTGTGTTTATAACTTACTTTCCACTTCAGTAGCTCTGTTTACCAGCTATTTGAGAATGTCAGAGGTGCTTTCATATATTTTATGTATAAATATTCCAATCTAATTTATATAAAGCAGACTTTATTTCTGATTTCGTGTTACTGGGAATAACTAGTTTCTTCATAAAAAGCCAAAACTAAAATGCTGTGTCTGGCTCTGCTACTTAGTATTTTTGGGACCAAATTACTTTACTTCCCTAGCCTCAGTTTCCAACATTTGTAAAATGGGATGATAGTAGTATCTAAATAATAAAAGTCATGTAAGGCGTTTGTTTTAGGGTTTCCTAGAGAAATAGCAGTACTTACCAAATATTTAATTGGTATCTTTATTGTTGTCATTACTTTCTTTTTCAATGTTATTTTAAAGAATTATTTATTTTTAAGTAAACCCTACCCCCAACATGGGGCTCAAACTCATGACCCCAAGATCAGGAGTCCCATGCTCTACCAACTGAGCCAGCAGACACCCCTGATTACTTTTAAGTATTAAAAATCCTGACTTGTGATGGCTACAAACTTAACTTGGAGGCATATAATTGTTAGAAACCAAAACGTGTAGACCAGTTGTGTGCAAAACTCTGTGCTTGACAGCATACAATTAATTCCCGAATAGTAGAGAATTACTATATACTTTGAAAATACCAAGTTAAGTGGCTCATGTAAATCCACCCCCACCCCATCACCTTTCTTAGTATTTTTAGCATCTTCAGAAGATTTTGAGATCTATTTAATGTTTTAACTGAGAAATTTATACTTTTATTCATTAAAGTTCCAGGATTTCCTAAAACTGCACTTTAGAAATTTGAATACTTAGTTAATATTGAAGGATTAATAATATTTAGGTTGCAACTTAAATGTGGCGGATAACATTCATTATATTTATAAACACCAGAAAATTTCAGGACAGATTATTGGTATATCTGGTACTAGAAATCGCTTTGTAAGTGAAAGTATTTCATAATTAGGCTCTTTGTTACTTCTCTACCCAAGAAAGTCCAAGATGGGTATGCCTTGTGCTAATTCCAGCCTATAAATAGTGTCGCAGAGTGAGTGTATTTACTTGGTACTGGTATTATTTTGTGATTACATTAATGGTTTTAAAAAATGTAAGAATTATGGCCTAACTTTTTTTGTGTGTGGAAATGAAGTAGTTTTATACATTGGCAGTATATAACTACACCTGGTAAAAGTGTGTAAATTTGAAAGTATGTTTTTACTCTTTCAACTTAAAAAGAGTAAAAACTTATATAATTATTGACTGGTAAATTGATTTAGAACCTAAGATTGCTGATACATTTTTATCCATATGGTAATATTATAATACATTTGAGAATACTAGAAAAATGACTGAAATAAAGACATTAGATATACACTAACTGACATGAAGGTCAACTGACTTGAGGGACTTAGACCCAGTTTCAGAGAGAAATGTTTATTTGGGTGTTGGAACAGTAGTGAACAGACCAGAAGTCTGAAGATAGAGTGGTTTTGAATCATGTGTCTTCTGAGCTATTGGGAAAATTGCTGAATGTCTTTTCACTTAATTTTCTTATCTGTAAAATGGTAGTAAGGAAGGCTATCCTGTGAAAAGTGGTGGTATAGTAAGTCTAGTTTACAGAAAATAAAATTAAAGCTCCAGAAGCAATAAATGATTTGCTCAAGGTCACAGGTAGTTCTGTAATCCTTATTTTCTTATTCAAAATCCAGTTGGCTTTCTGTTATTACTTGTAAAATAATGTTATGCTAAACATTCTAAAATGCTAATTCCAAATAACTAGTTTAGTTGGTAGATAGCTGAATGATAGAGATTTTGTATTTAAGCGTGTGGAATGAAAGTAGTTTAATAAAACTTTTCTTACAACATTAGGGGATCTACTGTAAACAACAGCAAATTGCAAAGTAGTATGAATATACGCTGCTAAAATGTCGTGCCATTTAAAAGGCTTTTCAGCTTATTTTTACTTTTAAGTATGTCCTGATTTGGAAGAAGGGATTTCTTGAAGGGTAGACTATCCCAAGGTTCTCTAAATTAAAATTCCACATAAGTGGAGTTCAGAGAAATTAGTATTGTATGTTATTTTTTGGCAGTATTGCAACATCTATATTTTATAGTGGGTATGCTGTGTGTTTAACCTAAAAATTTTAAATACTTGCTTTTTTTCTAGCTGTGAATTCCTTTGGACAATTGATGATATTTATCATTGTGCCCAGTTTCTAAAAATAAAAGATGGGTGGATTATTTTCTCGATGGAAGGTAAGTTATTTTTCTTTATGGCCAGTTCTTAGTCTAATATAAAGTGTCACATAAACCTATTTGTAAAAGTCTCCTTTGTAGTATAGACTTGAATAAAGCTTGATATTGTCCCTAATTCTATTTAATTTTCTTCCTTTTCTTATGAATTAGAAGAATTATAATTCTTATGAATTATATTTGGACTTTAATAGTTCTGCTTGCCATGTAGGTATGTAATGCCTCTGTTTAAAATAATTGTTTCACTTTGACTTATGAATTATTTTTGTTTATTCATTCATGTGAAAATAGCTATCTTTTCTAGCTTTTTTTCCCTTATATTGCCTACATTTCAATCTTATTTGAAAAATAGTTGAAACTATTATTATTGTTGAAATGGTTGAAATTATAGTTGTATGCTATACAATACCTGATTTTACAGGCTATCTCTTTTTGCTTAAAGCTTGTCATAAATATTTGCTGAAGTTATACTAGATATACTTTTAGGAATTAGAGGCTTAAAACAAAATTTGAAATGTAATTTGATGTTATTGGTTAAGGCTTTAGAGGAAGTATCTCCAATTTAGTACTATAAAATATAAAATATATTAATATATGCTCTTTTCTAATATGAGAGGAGATAATGTAATCTCAGACAAACTACTTTGCTTATTTTTAATTCCTTTTTAGTATAATAATGGAGCCTAGAAATGCTTGGTATACTAGTTTTTGGACTGTTACTGGAACTGCTTTGTTTTGGTATTCCATGGACTCCTTGCTCTTTCCTTTAAAACTCTGTTACAGTTCTGCTTGAGGATCAAATTTGCCTATTTTTTCTTTGTCTTTGTTAGGTTGAATCATATGAAATTACCAATATTCAACAGTTTTGACTTACATAAAAAGCAATTTCATGTGGTTCAACCTAATGTTAACAACTCTTATGGGAACTGCAATGAATTGATATTCATTATCCTCCTATATTATTGAGTACATAATTGGTAAATGCTTTCACAAGTGTTGTATGAGGCATTTTGGCTGGTTTTTATTCGGGGTGTATAAAAAATATTTTTAACAAACAAGCTCTGCTATAATGAAGTATTCTTAGGTGCCTTTTTAAAATCTAATCTTCAGAAACGTAGGAATTCAGAATGAAGGTAGCCTATTGATTTTGACTTCCAGAGTCCTAAATGAACTTTTAGCAATAGTAAATCAGACCATCTTTAATCTTGAGTTTTTTAATGTAGGAGTTCTTTTGAATAATCATGTCTAAGAAAATTTTTCTTGGAGGAGAATTTCTTTTTCTCTGTAAAAGTGTGTTCTGGGATTAAGACTGGTAAAAAATGAACTGTCAGAGTTGAAAGTACTCAGGCTAAAAAGTCAAGTAGGAAAATGCTTGTTTCTTTAATCTTACGTAGTTCTCTTTATAATTTTTATTTAAATCTAAATGTTACTTATAAATAAATAGGAGTATACATTGTTTAACAATATTTGAAAAAGCTTAATTTTGAATTAAAATGTTCTTTTGTGATTTTATAAATCAAAATGTATCTAAGTTTGCAATAACAAGTTTTAATGTCTCATCTGTTTTTATAACAGACAAAACCGTCAACTGTAGAAGTTCTGGAAAATATAGATAAGGTATGTTTTTTAGCTCTGGGGTGTTTTAACTCATTTTAGGTATTACATAAATATTATTATAGTATATGTGTAGTATTTTGGAGACTGGATCTGGTTTGGGAATTAGAGATGGTATAGAGTAAGCCTGAAGACTTTAATGTTACATTATTTCAAAAAAATTCAGAGTGAATCAGTGACTTAAGAAGCCTGTGTCAATAGAACCTGTTAGAATGGAATTAGATGCATAGCATGGCATAAATCAATGTTACAGATAGGGTAAAGTAGATTATAAGATGGTCTGCAACAATTTTTATCAGTATACAAACTTCACAGCTTTTTTTACTTTCTGTTATCAAAAATGGTTATTCCTTAGGAATATTAAGAGTGATGAATAGATTGAAAGAATCTAGTATGGGTCACTGTTTTAATTTTTATTAATTCCTTTTTTTTTTTTAATTTCATTTATTTATTTTGAGAGAGACAGAGACAGCCCAGGTGGGCGAAGGGCAGAGAGAGAGGGAGACAGAGAATCCCAAGCAGGCTCCACACTGTCATCACGGAGCCTGACATGGAGCTTGAACTCACGAAACTGTGAGATCATGACTTGAGCCGAAACCAAGAGTCGGATGCTTAACCAGCTGAGCCACCCAGGCACCCCAGTTTTTATTCATTCTTTCTTTATATAGCTAGATTTTTTTAGACCTTATAAAAGGAGAATTATTACTTGTTTAGTTAAATAAATACTATTTATTGATGTCAATTTCATGCTTTATCTTTGCTAATTTGGTAGGTTAAAAACAGTATCTTAATTTTGCATTTAAGAGTAACTTGTCAGAATAGGCATTTCATATTTTTAGTCTCATTTAAAATTTTCTTTTTCATATGTTCTATTTAAAAATATTAAGGTATTATATTTCATTGACTTTTAAGAATTATTTCTTTATAAACTCTCTATACTGTTGAAATTTTTTGTTAACAATTTGATTTCTTTATGAAATTTGAGATTCGCTTCAATAATATAGAATAATTCTCTCTTAACAGGAAATTCAAGCATTGGAAGAATTTAGGGAAAAAAATCAGAGATTACAAAAATTATGGGTTGGAAGATTAATTCTCTACTCTTCAATTCTCTATCTGTTTACATGTTTAATTGTATACTTGTGGTATCTTCCGGATGAATTTACAGCAAGACTTGCCATGACACTTCCGTTTTTTGCTTTCCCATTGATGTAAGTAAATTGTTCTTTTAGTTGACTTTTCCTCTTTTTGACCAGATGGTTTAAATATATTAAGTCTCTCTTTAGTATGAAATAATAATGTCTCAGTTTGAGTAAATTTGTTTGGTTGTTTTTCATTTTGAAAAGTATTTCTTTAAAAAAGTAAACCAACTGTTTAAAACCTTAATTTACAATTCAGCATATCTGAGGAATCTAACTCAGTGACGTTAGTAATAATGACTCTAGGTGGGAATCTTTTGTGATTCTCTAATAGATGATCATGCTTCCTTAGGGTCATAGGGCATAGAGTGGACATCTCAGATTGTGGGTAGTGGTAAGTGAGGGAGGGTTTGTAAAATAAAAAGAACAACTGACCCAGTAATTCCGAATATATTCCATTCATCCTATCTCTCTTCCCCTGTCTTAGTCACTGCTATAAAGCTATTGACCCTTATTATAGAAATATTTTATAATATAGGCCTTTACTGAAAGTGTGTAATGATTGAATTTTGAGACAATTGAATGAAAAATTGGTACCAATTCTTGGTATTTATGGGTACCAATTTTGTAGGTATTAGATTATAATGGTGTATGGTATACAAAAATACAAAATCTTTGACTATAGATTTTAGACTGCATATATCAATTAGTAAGTGTGATGAATATCCTAAAGAGAAGTGTCACATGCTATGGAAACACTTAACAGAGACCCTAACCCAGTCTGGGATGGAGATGGGGGTCAGGGAAGAACCTTTGTATTCATTTTCTATTGTTGCCACCAGTTTAGCAGCTTAGAGCAACACCCATCTATTGTATCATAGTTTGTGTAGATCCAGGTGGCTTGACTGGGTTCTCTGCTTAGAGTCTTGCAGGCCTAAATCAAACTAATCAATCAGCTGGACCGGGATCTTATTTGGAGTCTCTGTGGGGAGAATCTTCAAGGTCTAGTCAGGTCGTTTGCTGACCTGTGCTGTATCTCTCTGACTTCCAATTCTGCCCTCAACTCAGAGAAAGCTTTGTCTTTAAGGGTTTAACTGATTATATTAGACCCACCAGGATAATCCAGGATAATCTCCCTTGCTTAAAATCTGAGTAATACTTAATTATATTTGCAAAGTCCCTTCACAGCAGTACCTAGATTACTGTTTGATTGTATAACTGGAGGATGGAAATCTTGGGGAGGGAGAGAGATAGTTTTAGAACTCTGCTTACCATAGCCTCCCTGAAAAGTGATCTTTGAGTTTGAGATGCAGAGAATGATTATGTGTATTAAGGGTGGTGTGACAAGGGAGTGGATAGTCTGTTAGGGAGAAGGAACAGCATATATAAAGGCCCTGAGGTGGATAGACCGTGGAAGGTTTAAAAAATTGAAAGAAGGCCAAAGACTGGATTATAGGGAAAGTCTGGATAGTTAGGCAAGGGATATTTCTTAAGGGCTTCATAGGCCCTGATAATGACTTTAGGGCTTAATCTAGGAGTGATAGGAAGTCATTGAAGATTTTTAAGAAGGGATATGGATAAGGGAAGATCTTTATAGGAAGAGAACAGAAAATACAAAGGCTGTGTAATGGAAGAGAGCATGACTTATTTGAGGGTCTGTGATGGAGAGAGTGATAGGAAGTATGCTTGCAGAATCAGATAGGTTCTGGATCATGGGAGGGTCCTGGTGCTAGGAATTTGAATTTCATTTTGGGTGAAATGGGAAGCTTGTAAAGGTTTTAGTGGAAGAATCGCATGATGAGATTTAAGTTAAGAGGCTCATGTGTACTGCCTGTGGAGATTGAGTAGAGGAGGACAAGGATAGAAACAGATCAGCTAGGGTGCTGTTATAGGAGTTTAATCTAAAAATCCATCTGGATTGGGACATCCCAGTGGCAGTGGAGATGAATAGATGACTTAGCAGTGTTTCAGAAGTAAAACTGAGACAACTTGATGGGAGGAAATGGAAGGTAATGGAAAAGGAGGAGTCGGTGATATTTAGGTTTTTTGGTGGGTGTAGGATCTCTTTCTTTGGGACTGCTGTAGTAAAAAAAAATTTGTTTAGTCTGTAGTGCAGGACATAATTTCAAATTGGAACTCCGAGAGATCATAAAATTTTAGCTTTTATATGTAGATAAAAGAATAAAAAATTGAGTGCATGCATATTATGAAATAACATCTCTGCCATTTTCTTTATTTTCTTTCTCTTTTGAAATCTTTTGGAATGCTTCTTATCCCAGGTATAGTAGTGGATTTTATAATGCTGAGCCCCCTTCCCTCGTTCCTTTCTAGTTTTTCATTAAAAGAGGGGAGAAAAGAAATTTAGAAAGGGAATAGATGTGATGTTTACTTGATTGAAACATCTTTAAAAAACTTTAAAAAACTCACTTGAGGGCCACCTGGGTGGCTTAGTCTGTTGAGTGTCTGACTCTTGATGTCTCACAGTTGGTGAGTTCTTGCCCTGAATGGGGCTCTGTACTGATATTGTGGAGCCTGATTGGGATTCTTTTTCCCTCCCTCCCTCTCTCTCTCTCTCTTTCTCTCTCTCTCTGTCTCTGTCTCTCCCTCTCCCTCCCTCCCTCCCTCTCTTTCTCCCTCCCCCCCCTTGCATATGTACATGGGCTCTCTTTCTCTCTCTCTCTCTCAAAACTATATAAATAAACTTAACCCCCCCCCAAACCCACTTCACTTGACATCCATTACTATATAAAAATAGGTTTTTTTTTTTTAATTATGAAAGATTTGTATCTAGTTGCAAAAGAATGACAGGGAACTTTACTGTGCTAATTCTAATGGCTGTTCACAAATTGTGATCTACTGGATCTGCTACTATGCTGCAGAAGACTTTTTTTTTTTTTTTTTTTTTTTTTTTTTTTTGGCAAATAAATCATATACTAATTGTTCATAAAAGTAGAAAAACTTAATTTCTTTAAAAATGTTTATTTCTTCAGTTTGATCTTTCTACTCTTTTGAGTATGAGGCTTTATTGTCCTTACTGTGTCCTTCTGCCTGTTCTGCATCACCTGCATCTAGTATTTCTTGGTTTGTTAAGCTTCAGAGCCATTTCTCACTTTGTCTCATTCACATTTGTGACCTGGTTCTCAACTGCTGCAGCTTCTGTTTCACTGAGCTCTTCACTCTTGGAAGCATAGACCAGTTATCAAACAAAGAATAGAATTGTCCTTCTGATTGATGGCAATCAAAAAAGCATGAAATAAAATACAACAACGTGAAAGTGGATGCTGTGGTATAAAGAAAGAAGACTTAGCACAGGACATTTTCTTTCATGTGAGCTATTGCCTGAGCTTATTCCTGGACCGTTTTCCTTTGGAAACAAAAGTTTTGAGGTCTGGACCAGGGTTTACCTAAAGAAATGGAGGCAGAATTAGTAATAAAATGTATTGTTTTACTTATCACAGTGTACACTGATTATAAAGCTTAGCAATCTACCTGATATTGCAAAAAGTGACTCACTTCTGCGTTCCAAATTTCCCAAATGCTTTTACTGGACAGAGCGGTCATGGATTCAGGAATGAGCATATATTGCATAATCATAACCACCTTAAAGTTATCTTTTATGATAGAATGTCAATACTCTGTATAAGATGCTTTGATGTTTTATTATATCTTCTTTTCAGGATGTAATAGGGAGGAGCTTGGGATGATTCCCAACCTATTATTTTTCTGCCTTTCAGATTCAATAGTATATTTATATCCCTAATCTTTTCAACTATTACTGAAACAAATTATAATCTAAATGCTGAATTTGTTTCATTGGAGTCATTATGGCTATCGTCCAATATGAGGGAAGGTTTAGATTGCAGTTTAAATTTTATATTTCTTGCATATGCTGGCAGATATGCATTACCCTGGGAATTGGTTCATTTTCTAAGAGTGAACAGCCATTAAACTTTGTCTCTATCCTTAACTAACTCTACAGGCAGTCTTAGACTTTTACTCCTAGATACCTTATTCTTCCAGATTATAACTTTCTAGAAATTTCATTATAAGATCATTTCAGAGGCTTATTAGCATAAAACTTGACCTTCCCAGAGGATTTAGCTATATTTTCTTCCTCCCTCCCTCCACCCTCCCTCCCTCTTTCTTTTCTTTTCCTTTCTTCTTTCTTTCTTTCTTTCTTTCTTTCTTTCTTTCTTCCTTCCTTCCTTCCTTCCTTCCTTCCTTCCTTCCTTCCTTTCTTTCTTTTCTTGGAGAGTGTAACCGTACGAGTTGGGAAGCTGGGGAGGGTGGGGAGAGAGAAAGAATTTCAAGCAGGCTCTTCTGCTCAACATGGAGCCCAACGTAGAGCTTGATCCCACAACCCTGGGATCATGACCTGAGCTGAAATCAAGAGTTGGACACTCAAGGAAAAAAAAAAAAAGTTGGATGCTCAATTGACTGAGCCACCCAGGAGCCCCAGCTATATTTTCCTTCTGTTTTTGTTTGTTTGTTTTTAATTCCTCTTAAAATGGAGCTATGGGGGGAAAAGTTAAGCAAAGGACCTGAAGAAGGTGGTCTTGTCCCTATTTTTTATGTTTTCTTTTTTTCCTACTTAAATCTAAAGTCATTTGAGGATAGGACTTTGATCTTATACAGTTTTTAACACCTTCTTCTCACTCCCCCTCCTCTCTCACCCCCTCCCAACTCTGATAAAAGATACTTCCTCAATCCAGCAGGAGGGTTGGCAAGCATAATTTGTAGCCTTAAAAAAAATTTTTTTTTTAACGTTTATTCATTTTTGAGAGAGAGAGACAGTGTGAGTGGGGGAGGGGCAGAGAGAGAGAGAGAAGGAGACACAGAATCCAAAGCAGGCTCTAGGCTCTGAGCTGTCAGCACATAGCCAGATGTGGGGCTCCAACTCATGAACCCTGAGATCATGACCTGAGCTGAAGTCGTCCCAACTGAGCCACCCTGGTGCTCCATAATTTGTAGCCTTTTGAGGAAAGTTTAACATTTCTTTCATGGTGATCTTATGAGAATACAAAGTATCTCTATACTTTGGAATCAACTATAGTTGGCTCTTAAAGGAGAAG